CTCATTTATGGCAAAAAGTATTAAAGAAAAAAATAGGAAGTCACCAAGATGTGGCTTGAAATTGAAGTGTCATTGGAAACCATGGATTCATGTTTCAATTGTCCTGAGTTCAAATGAGTAGCAAATGGAGCCCATTGCTGTAGTAGCTGCCTGAAGCCTAGAATTTTTCAAGACAGATTAGCGCTAAGGTTCACTTTTGCTAGTAGAGCATTCTAACTGAGAATGGAAGAGACTCTATGTTTTGGTTTTCGTTTGAAAAACTGGTACGTCAGTGAAAGGAATTCATATATCTGGCCAGAGCCTGAGAAAGGGATATTATTCTCCCACAGATAATATATAGCCATTAAAGAAAAAAAAAAAATCTAAGTCCTCTATTGCCAGTCCAAGGAGCAGGGAAGAGCTCCAGGCTGAATGGAAGTTGAACTCAAGAATCCTCAAGTTCCCCAGTAAGAGTCCCTTCATCAAAGACATAGGTAACAGGGCAACTAACAGGTAAGAGAACGTAGCTTTGTAAACTCAGATAAGGATGGAAAAATTAAGTGGATGTTCTCATTTCATACATCGATTAACATGAAATACAGGTAGATCACCAACTTAAGCATGAATATTCTTTACTAATTTTCAGAATTATCGAATATCTCCTCCCTCATATATCTATAAAATTCAAATTACAATTTGAAAATAATTTTTTACTCTTAATATTCTTGATTGTCAGGACCAGTGTCCTAATGTTAATTTTTTTTTAGTAAAAAGAGCAACTAAGTTTATTTATTTGGTTGTGTTTCCTGGGTGCTTATTCACACATTCAACAACAATTTTTGGCCAATCTGGGCATTAGGGATGCAGTCTTTTGTTACAGTTCATGACATTGTTGATAATGATTTTTACCATATTTGGTCACACAAAGTTAGACCGGTTTTCGATACATTTATTTTTTCAGTACTGCACATGCTTTTCCCTAAAAGTTAAAACGATATATTATTATAAGAAGTAATATTTCTACATTATGGTTTCAGGCACATAAACTGATCAATTTATCCAAAATGGTATCTTCCAGTTAGAGAACATCGGATGGAACAGATTTGGACCATGCACCATGATTGGTAAATCTGAGTGTCAAGGAAAAGTGACGAAGAGATAGTATTTTCTAAGATATTTTAGTTTGTGTGTGTTTGAGCTACCTACGAGTGTTTTGAGGCATGTTGTTTTCAGCCTGTATTTCCAGTATTCTTTAAAATGAGAATCTCCTAGTATTAAAGCTGAAAGAAAAGAATATGATAATTACACACGTGTGGTTCTCATATTGAATGCCTACCTGAAGACAATCACCAAACACTCCACTGCCTTCCAAGGACTGACTGTCCCACACCCTTTTCATTCAGCCATACTCCCGATTAGGCTTTTTCTTTCTCCTTTAGTACATAAAATAAATATTTATTCTTTTATTTTTAATACTCAAATGTCCTTATTTAATTTCAAAGTGTAACTTATTCATGTAAACTTACTTTTTATTGTTCAACTGATCTTTTTTTTTTTTTAATAAATGCTTTATTTTTTTTCAGAGCAGATTTAGGTTCACAGCAAAATTGAGAAGAAACTACAGAGAATTCTATATACCTCTGCCCACACACGCATAGTCTCCCCAATTGTCAATGTCCTCACCAGAGTGGAACATTTGTTACAATTGATGAATCCACATTAACGTAATTATCACCCAAAGTCTATAGTTTGCATTAGGGCTCCCTTTTGGTTTAATAAAATCTGTGGGTTTACACAAGTATGTAATAGCATGTATAATACCACCCACTACTGTAGTATCATACAGAGCAGTTTCACTATCCTCAAAACCCTCCATGCTCCACCTATTAAGCCCTCTCTCCCCCCAGTGCCTGGCAACCACTCATCATTTTACTGTCTCCACAGTTTTGCCTTTTCGAGAATGTCATCTAGTTAGCATCCTACAATAATGGAGACTTTTCATACTGGCTTTTTTCATTTAGTAATAATTCTTATAAGTTTCCTGCATGTGTTTTTGTGGCCCAGTAGATCATTTCTTTTTAGCACTGAATAATACTCCACTGTCTGGATATACCACAGTTTATTTATCCGTTTACCAACAAAAAGACATCATGGTTTCTTGCAAACTCTGGCAATTATAAATAAAGCTGCTATAAACAACCCTGTGTGGCTTTTGGCATGAACATAAGTTTTCAGCTTCTTTGCGTAAATACCAGGGAATGTAATTGCTAGATCTTATGGTAATAGGATGGTTAGTTTTATAAGAAATTTTCAGACTGTCTTCCAAAGTGGCTGTAGCGTTTGCATTCCTACCATCAATAAATAAAAGTTCCAGTCGCTCCATATCATTGTCAGCATTTGGTGATGTCAATGTTTGTATTTAGGTCAGTTTAATATGTTTGTGTGGTGTATAATTGTTTATTTAACTTGCATTTCCCCAATGACATATGATGGGGAACATCTTTTCATATTCATATTTGCCATATATATATATATATAATGGGTTGTTTGATCTTTTTATAATTCAGTTTTAAGAGTTTGTGGTATATTTTATATAACAGTCTTTGATATGTCTTTTGCAAATATTTTCTCACAGTCTGTGTCTTATCTTTTCATTTTCTTGACAGTGTCTTTTACAGAGCAGAAATTTGTAATTTTGATTGACTCCAGTTTATCAATTCTTTCTTTTATGGATCATGTCTTTGATGTTGTACCTAAAATGTCATCACCAAACCCAAGGTCATCTAGAATTTATCCTATGGGATCTTTGAGGAGTTTTATAGTTTTATGTTTACATTTAGGTCTGTGATCCATTTTGAGTTAATTTTTGTAGACAGTGTAAGGTGTGTGTCTACTTTTTCTTTTCTTTTGCATATGGATGTTCAGTTGTTCCATCACCATTTGTTAAAAGGACTATCAGTTCTCCATTGTACTGCCTTTGCTCCTTTGTCAAAGATCAATTGACTAGATTTATGTGGATCTATTTTTATTTTATTTCATCGATCTATTTGTCTGATCTTTTTCCAATACTACACTGTCTTTATTACTATAGCTTTATAATTAATCATGCAATTTGGGTAGTGTCAGTCCTTCAACTTTGTTGTTTGTTTTCAATATTTTGTTGGCTATTCTGAATCCATGTAAACTCTAGAATCAGTTTATCAGTATCCACAAAGTAACTGAATGGGATTTTGTTTATCTTTGTATTGTATCTATTTGATAAGTTGAAAAGAAGTGACATTATAACAGTATTGATTATACTTATCCATGAACATAAAATATCTCAATTTGTTTGGTTATTTGATTTCTGTTATCAAAGTTCTGCACTTTACCTCACATAGATTTTTTACATAAATTATTAGGTTTATACCTAAGTACTTCATTTAGAGGGGTGCTAATGTAAATCGTATTGTGTCTTTAATTTCAAATTCTTCTGGTTTATTGCTAGTATGTAGAAATGCCACTGACTTTTATACTAACTTCGCATGTTGCAACCATTTTTTTTAATTAGTAAATTTTATTGTGAAGTAGGACTCTGATTACATTTTACGAAGTATTAATTTACAAAACATATTGGCATTTATACCACAACCTTTTCATAATTGCTTATTATTTACAGGCATTTTTGTAGTTGTTGTTGTTGATAATTTTTTAAAAATTATCTACATAGACATCCATATTATCTCTGAACAAAGACAGTTTTATTTAAACCTTCCCAATTAGTGTATTATTTATTTCCTTTTTTATCTTATTACATTTACTATAACTTCAAGCATTATGTTGAAAAGGAGGGATATCCTTACCTTGCTCTTGATCTAAGAGGGAAAGCTTCTAGTTTCTCACAATTAAAAACATATTAGCTGTAGATTTTATGTAAATATTTCAATTGATTTCGATTTTATTTTATTTTATTTTATCAATATACAATGTAGTCGATTTTTGTGTACCATTACCAATTCCACCTTCCCCCTTCCCTCTCCCCCGTCCCAGCAATCAACATCATATCTGTTCAGTTCTCTTAATAAGTTCAAGGAATTTTGATTATTGTGTCTTCTTCCCTGCACCCCCCGTTTATT